GAGAGAGAGAGAGAGAGAGAGAGAGAGAGAGAGAGAGAGAGAGAGAGAGAGAGAGAGAGAGAGAGAGAGAGAGAGAGAGAGAGAGAGAGAGAGAGAGAGAGAGAGAGAGAGAGAGAGAGAGAGAGAGAGAGAGAGAGAGAGAGAGAGAGAGAGAGAGAGAGAGAGAGAGAGAGAGAGAGAGAGAGAGAGAGAGAGAGAGAGAGAGAGAGAGAGAGAGAGAGAGAGAGAGAGAGAGAGAGAGAGAGAGAGAGAGAGAGAGAGAGAGAGAGAACTGGAGAGAGAGACAGCCGGCGAGAGAGAGCCCGGAGGTGGTTGCCGGCGTGGAAGAAGAAAGGAGAGAGAGAAGGGCGGCGGTGGGAGAAACCAGAGGAGAGAGAGAGAAAAGAAAAAGAAAGAGGGAGAGAGAGAGGGGGGTTATGTGGGCTGCACGGGAAGGAAAAAGGGAAAGGAAAAAGAAGAAAAGGAAAAAAGAAAAGAAAAGGAAAAAGGGAAAAGGGAAAAATAGAAAGAAAAAAAAAGGAAAATGCACTAAAATTTAAGTATATTTTCAAAAAATTTTAGGGTGAAATCATAAATATTGAAAATAATTTAAAGTTTCTTAATTAATTGTGAAAATCAAATTAGGCATACTAATAACTCACAATTTAACATAATTATACACGTTTAATTCTGAAGGACGTTACAATAATACTTTATAGGTGTTTGATGCAGCGTGTGACTGAGATCTATTATGACTCTTATGAAAGTTGTCTCCTAATGACAATTAAGTGCAGTGCAGATCTGTTTCGAGGTCAAACTTGTGGGTTTTCTACTTGTTTATGAAATATAAAAGTGGTTGTTACATTGTTTACCTTTTTTTTTTATCTAATTAAAGATTTACACTCTTACTCTGTACTCTGGAACCTCTATCAGATTGTGTAAGTTCCCTTCTTATGCTCTTGTTCATTTTATTTTATTTTCTTTCTTTCTTTTTGTTTTGTTTTTTTTTTTCAACTCATGGTTGTAGATTTCTAGTATATATGTTTGTCCCATGTTTTGGTTATGTATGATTAGCCTTTTGAGTGTTCCTCAGAGATCTTTGAATTTGGAGGATACATTTTTTTTTTATTTTCCAACCAATAAGTGCTTTGCTCTAATGTTAGTGTTTTGTTATACTAAAGAGAAAGAAAATGACATTTTGAAAGGGAAGGTAGGGCTGGTATGACTTAATGAGCATGGTTGGATAATATAAGGTTCGACCACTTTTTAGGAATCTATTAAATATATGTATTATTACTTGTTAGAGTACGGTGATCCGACTTTTATTTGGTCCGGTCCGAAAAGCTCGCGGTGCAATATTTGTGGTTGAGCTTTAAATATGAAATTTTGTTGGGGCTCGTGGTGGTAGCGGAGACATAATTTCCTGCACTTATAGAAGTTAGATGACGTTTTTGTATATGCAGACATAAATTTTTTGTATGCCTTCAGTAAAGCAAAAAAAATTTTAAAAAAATAATACTTTAGACGATGGTATTTTTAAAATCCGTTGTCTAAAATTAATACATCAGATGACGTTTTTAAATCGTTGTTAAATGCCTCAGACATTTAAAGACTCGCGATTAGATGATAGTTTTTGTAACTAAATCTTCTAACAATGGTTAATAACGGTTGTTATATCCCCTGTCTGTATTAGTGGATAAAGAAAGACCTAAGATCCCAATTTGAAAGAGATTGGAGATCTATAAAGAGAGGTTAAGATTCCTCCTTCATTTTTTACACACAAGTTTAACCTCTTAGATAATTTGACAATTGTTTTTGTACTTTTGAGAATTAGTGAAAAGCTGAGAACCCAAAAAGGCCGTAGGCATTGCACCAGCTGAGTCTCTATAAATCTTGTCTTCATCTTTTATTTTTGCATTTATTATTCATTAATTTGCGTGCAAAAATTCCTTAGACTTAATTCGAGCTAATAAACTTTCATCGTCGACAAAAATGATAGAAAAAATAGGAAGGACAAAGTAACAGATTTATTAAGGGAAAATATTATTTGTGTAATGGCTGTCACATTAATCAGTTTAATAAAGTATTGTATTTAAAATACATTTTTAACACTACAGGTAGTTCGCATAAAAAAGTTCTCGACTCCACTTTGATTGGCTGAAAATTTGTGAGTATATTGTCTAACCATGCATGTGTCCGCATCTTATAAAAAACCATACGCAACCAAATGTAAACTCACCATCCTACGTGGTCTCATTCATTTTACTGATTCGAATTTAGAATTTGAGTTTTATTATAGTAAAAAATTCTCAAAAATAATCACATTTAACTTTTTTATTACAGTAAAAATCTCTCACATAAAATTACATCACAACTCAAATTAAAAACTCGAACTAACAAATTAAACCAGCCTTTTATTTATCAATCTACTTTTTTTTTTCTTTGTGTGCACATGAAGAGGAAGTACTTTTTATAATTTTTATACCTTGAAAGAACTTCATCAAAGAAAAGTCAACGGAAAAATCATAATGAATTTGAAGCAGAGCTATAATAGTGATCAACAAGCAAAGAAAAAAAGGCTAATTTAAAAAAAATTTCAAACTATAATTCTTGATTTTAATGTTTAAAATTTAAATATTTTATGAGAGAAAAATATTAAAATAAAATTAATTATTTGAGTTGAGTATATGAAATAAATTAACTATAACAAGTATGGGATCTGAGACCAAAAGAACTAAAACATCTTTTCTTAACGAAGATCATTTTTTTTTTTTTTAAGAACTGATTGCCCAAATGAAGGTTTCAAGAAAATATCAATTTCAAACTAAAGGAAGAAGGCATGTGGATGATGGAGAATGGAAAGGAAGAAGGCAACTATGATGCCCAAGCGGACGTTGATGAGAGGCCGACGCTGGAGGAAGTGAATGCCCAAGTGGACATGGATTTCTAAGAAGATATTGTGCCCTTTTTGAGTTTTCTTTTTTCTTGTCGGCACAAGGAAATTTCTCCCTGCGATAAGCACATCTGCAAGTAAAGAATAGATTAAAACTTTTCATTTATTCTACAGCCTAATTTTTACTTCAATTCAAATTTTAATTTAAGTCAAATTTAAATCAATTTAAATTTTAAATTAGATAACTTATCAAATAAGTCAATTTATAACTTAAAGAGTAAGCAATTGAATTTCAAATAGATTCACACTATGTTGGGTTTTCACACTATGTGAACACCTTTACATTTGTTTTTCAAAATTTTAATTTAAACTTAAATAATCACATTATTTAATTTATAATTAATTCTCAATTAATTATCCTTGAGCGTTATTTTTAGAATTTTAAAATTTTAAAATTCTCATTTTACCTTTAGTGTCTTGTAGGATTACAAGAACGACGCGGAGACTCATGAACATATAATTTTGTGCTCCAATAAAATTAATAATTAATTAAACGTTTTAATTAACTAATTAATTTTATTAATTTCAAAAGTTACTGCACTATAAACTTAGAATTGTACTCTGATAATTATAAATATAAATTACTTTTAAACTATAAAGTGTCCATTTAATATAGTCATTACATATAGATAAATCCTCCATAAATAATTCATAATTAGAGTTAGGTGAAATCCTTTAGTACCATTGATTCTCTAATGGACATGATTCATGAAACAAATTCATGAATCTGAGCTCCTATTGGTCCAAGTACCGAATTAATCCTTAAGAGAATTATTTATCTACTTCTTTCTCAAGAAGGAATGGATTCTATCTGGTATAATAACATTCTCGGCTACTCACTCCATCATGTCTATAAAGTACAAAGAATATGATTTAAGATCTCAAAATCCATACCGAGTAAATCAAAAGACATAAATCCATAAATAGGAGTCTGCTAATAACTCAGGAGTAAGATCATTCTATATATAACTATCGGTAGACTCAATTAGAATTTCTATACTTAAATTATCAAAACTTCATATTGTGTGGATGTCCCTGTTCCGTATAATCTCATTATGCGTAATACATTCATTCAATATCTCACCATATTAATAGTGTGGATAACACCGTCTCATTATAAATGAGAATGACATGTATTAGTAATGTTTTAATTATAGAATTCTAAACTTTAATTAAATTCATTACGAACATCATTTTGATTATTATCCTTAAATATTATCCTCTCGCATATAATTCTTATATACAATATTTAAGGTCACATAAATAATCATAGAATTTTCAGTGACATTCGTAAAATATTCAACAATACATGCACATAAAATAATAAATAAAATCTTTTATTAAATAAATAATAAATATCTTATTACATCTCATGTTTCTAAGACATTATTTCTAACATATATTTATAATAGCAGGGTCCGCATAAGTTATTCTATTAATGGGTAATTTAAAAATATCAAAAAGAGGTGTGTAAAAAGTAAAAAAATGAGATGTCAATAAACGCACCCCTTTCAATAAATCAGGTTTTCACTTTCCATGGAAGCCTTTTATTTGTTATTTAAGCCACAGAGTGAAATGAAACAGAAAAGATGGGTTGTAGAAGACAGATGTTGATGAAATTGTGGTGGCAATTTTTGTAAATTTTATTTATGGGCGTTAAATTTGATCAAAATCACATAAAATTGAAAAAGAAATAGACAATTCTAATATAGATTTGACGGCTAAAAATAAGAACTTTTTAGTGGTTTTTTCCGAGACCTATTTAAAAAACTCTTAAGAAAATATGGTCTATTTATTTTGCTCGTTCGAGTTAAAAATTTAAGTTAAAAAATGAATTCATGCGAGAGAAAACACTATAAAAAAAATTAAATTTAAATTTTTATGAGAAAAAATAATCTAAATAAACGTGAATTATAATTCAAAAGTGAATTTTTATCTTTTCCAAGGTTCCAGAAATGAAAATTTCCCTACACGTTATTAAAATTACGTTTTGACACAAAGTTTCTGAATTTTACAAAAGTGACCAACTTCATATCTGAACTTCTTTCTCAAGCACCCCTCTCTCCCTCTCCCTCTCCCTCTCTTTCCTTTTGCCCTTTTCCCCTTCTCTCTCTCTCTCTCTCTTCGTTCCCCGAACTTCCCCCTCAAGCCGAACGTCCCTCCCTTGCTCTCCTAGGAAGCACAACCGAAGTTTTCTTTCCTTGGCTGCACCACCGAGCTTTCCACAGAGTAGAAGGCCAATTTTCTGCAGCGAATCTTTTTGGAGCAAGGAGCTATCTGGAGATCTTGAAATTCTGAGGTAGGGTTTTTGAATTATCTTAATCCAAAAGTTCCTAAATGAATTGATCCTTCCTTCTAGATTTCATTTCTGTGTGATGAAATCTCTTTTATTCTTCTGATTTTACAAAAAGAAAAAAGAAACCCTAAAATCCCGAAATTTTCTCTGTCCATAGATACGAGCCGTTTGAGTGTTTCCTTCATCATTTTCTTGTCAGTTCTGAAATCTGATTGAATATCTTTCTAAAGTCTTTGTTTTGCATAGCTATAGAAGCCCTCTATGTTCAGCCCTAAAAACCTGAGTTTGATTTTGGTTTTCGTAATTTTATTAAACCGTATTAGTTACCGATTTGGATTCTGGGCGTGAGAATTCTTGTTCATATTTTTAAGATATTTATCTTGAGCCGCAAAGATTAAGGAATTAAGCTGAGGCTACAGGATTCACTCTTGGAAAAAAAAAAAAAAACCCTAATTAATATGATAAATTCAATATTTTGAGACTTAATTGGTTAAAAATTTCCTAATAAGGGGTCTTACGCAATTGCCTTCATGGCTTGACGCTTATAAGCAGACATTGCAGAAAGCTTTTATAACTAGAAGTAAAGTTAAGCTAGAATAATTGGGCATAAATGGAAAACATACTGATTTTGCTAGCGCCACTTTTGTTTCTATCTTCTCTGACTCTGGTCTAGTTGTTGGTTTTTGATTAGTGAAATTTTTTTGGCTATCTAATTCCCTCCGTTACTGTAATGTTGCCACTGTTATCTGTACATTATATTTTTCTAGGGTTCTTGACCATAGACTATGATGAGGATTGGAACATATCAAAGTGAGTGATTATGTTAATTGGTGAATGCAGGGTAAGTGAGCTTGCGCTGACGTTGACTGGGGAGTTGAAGTTCCAATTTTTTGCAAGTTCTTGTTTAAGAACGAACTGTGTTCTAAAACATGTCGAGTAAGAAAGAAGAGAAAGCTCAGGCGGCAGCTGAAAGAATCAAGGCTGCCGCCTTGAGTGCTGCAAAGGGTCTTAGTCGAGCTCAGGCAGAGAGAGCGGCTGCAGCTGCGGCTAGAAACGTCAATGCATATGGGCAGAAAGAAGAAGGGCCTAGCAGATGGCAGGAGAAACGAGAAGCGAAAAGACAGATGTACCTGATGAGTACTGAAAAGGCTGTAAGACTGGGTGAGAGGAAAGACCTTAAGGCCAGTATGTCTACTGTTGGTGGCGCAGCTTCGCAATGCCAGAAGTGTTTTCAGCCTGGGCATTGGACGTATGAGTGCAAGAACGAACGCGTTTATATCTCACGGCCCTCTCGGACTCAGCAGTTGAAGAACCCGAAATTGAAAATGAAGGTGTCAATTTCATATGATTTGGATAATCCAGATGCTAAAGAGGATGAAGAGAAAAGCAAGCAGTCTAAGAAAAGCAAAAGGAAGCACAGGTCAGATTCTGATTCTGGCAGTGATAGTGAGGCTTCAGTTTTCGAGACTGATAGTGGGTCATCATCAGCTAAAGCTTCCGATTATTCTTCAGAGGAGAGTAGTTCGGATTATAGTTCATCCTCTGATTCTGAGGAGGAGAGGAGGCGGTGGAAGAAGAAAAAGAAGAAAAGTAGAGGTAGGCGTCGGAGGTACAACTCATCATCGGATTTTTCTGATTCTGACTCGGCATCGGATTCTGATTCTGACGATCGGAGCAGCAGGAGAAAGAGCAGGAGGCACAGCAAAAGGCGTTAACAACGGTAAGTCAAGAGGGAAGGAAAGGGGAAGAGAACGAGCTATGTAATTAGCTTAGGTCTGTGTTCGACTAGTTATAAACCTGAAATCTCTAGAACCTTCGATAGTTTCCCATCGACATTATTCATCCGTACTTGAGAAGACTAGCAGACGAAGGGCTAAGTGGATGAGTTCTTGTTGTTGCTTTTCTCGTATCAACATCTACCCATTTCATTTTGACTGTATGCGAGATTCTAATAAGTTTGCTGTAGTTACTTTTTCATATCACATTTTCATGTGTTGCTTTTAGTTCTTTTGTGGAAGTAGTGCATTGCCCAACTCTTTTCACTGGTTTTTAAGTTCTTGTCCATTCCTTGGTCATAAATATTTGTTGATGGTTTGTCACTTCTTCTACATGAGGTTAACAATATATGGAATGTGGATACATATCTTCGTTGCAAATTTTTTGGGTCCAGATACCGAGTTTGTGTGTGTGTCTGAATACATGTCTTTGCATATGATATTAAAAAATTTGAGAATGCACTAATTGATGTCTGTGTCCTTGAGCTTATAGGGATATTGGGGTGCATTTTTCCTGCAATTGGGATGCACACAGACCAAAATGCATTGCGAAAGCCGAATCTGTGAATATGGGATTGACTTGCTATCGTTTCATTTCATTTAATTTTGCTTTAAAAAAGGAATGATAGAGTCCTAGTTCCTTGTTTCTGTTAGTTTTGTTTGCTTTTCTGTTAGGCTGCAATGTCTCTCACACGGTTCCTGGAAGGTTTACTTGGTAGATTGGTCAATACATGATACAAATCGGAGGGAGAACTCTCTGCTGCATTATTCAACCAATATTGTTCTGAATCTAAATTTAGGCTTTTTTGTATTATTAACAAACATTTATCCACCTTTTGAGTACTATCAAGTGCTTCCTGAAAGTTTCTGTGCATGAACCAAGTTGTGCATCTATTAGCGGGAAAAAGAAAAAACATGTTGCACATCAAAATTTGGGGGACAATTTGTTGGGAACACTTTTTTGTTAAAAAATTTCTGTGAGGAAGCGAAAGCGTAGTGATTAGTGCATGAAAATGCATCCTAAATATTGTTTTTGATTTATATAATATTAAAATATTTAAGCTTTAATTAAATAATTACATTATTTTTATTCAGAATATTTTTCATTAGAATTTGTCTAGTTGCTTAATTATTTGCAGATAAAGAGCAGTGTAAAAAGTCACACAAAAAGAAACCATGAAAGTCATGTTTTCAGCCACTCTAAGTCAGCCAAGCCCAGCCATATAGAGACAGAGCCGTGCAAGCCGAGTCAAGCCACCAAGCCGAGCCAAACAACTATCATTTCCCTCCGTGTGGGCCCCAGCTCTTCCGCGTTTCTTGACTCTTCCTCGCGCGCGTCACCAGCACGCCCGCTCTCAGCGCGCGTGTTCCTTCCACGCAAACATCAGAGCGCGTCCAAAGCTTTCCTCTGCGTGGGTCCCGTGTCTGCGATGCCAGCCTCACTTCCCAATGAATGCACGCCAGCTGTCAACTTGTCCCCTGCTTTAATTTCGCGCCAGCACACTCCAACCACTCTGAGCGCGACACGTGGTGAACTGACTCCATCTTTCAACTGTAATGCGACACGTGTCCCCTTTGATGTTGAATCTAAATTTCTTCTCCAAAAATCAGAGCAAATTATCAGATTTTTTCCCCAAATTAAATATATGATTTCTCCTAATTTATGTTTAATTTAATTTAATTTCTTTTTCTTTTGTAATTTTCTATTTTTATTATTTGTTTCCTTATTTGACAGGCAACCTCTAAACACTATAAATAGAGGGATTAGTCTAAGGTCTTAAAAAGCTTTTAATATTCAGTTTTCTATCGTTTTGCTGTCAGTCTCATATTTTCTCTCTAGAATTTATGAGAATGTTTTGCAAGTTAGGCTAGAGTTCTCTTGGTGAGGTTAGAGATGAACTTTTGTTGTGTGGCCTAATTTGGGTATTCATTCCTTCTGCTGTAAACTTTAACATCCGAATGAATTAAATCTCATCTTTCTTTTACTTTTTAAAATATTATGTGCTAATTTTTATATAAGTTCAATCACGCTTTTCTTATGTAATTATCTCACGTATTGTTTTGTTATTCAAATTATTTTACAAATTGTCTTTTACTGTAATATTGTCAAATTGATAAATTGTCGATTTTGGATAAGTTGTAATAATAATATTTTCGGAGTCAACATAGAGATTTAATTTATTCGATTCTTTTATTTTGTGAATCAAAACTTGAATTGGTGAACAAAATATTAGGGATTATCGACATCTTACCGTTTTTACTATTGAATTTCTTCCACACAAATCTTCTCTCCTTTTTATTTGCAACAAAGTCTTCAAAACTCTTTTTTTCTTTAATTCCCTTATTATTTATTTTTCTCTAACGCTCTTATTTTGCTAATCTTTCTTGTTATGTTGTTATCTCTCTGTGGATATGACCACTATTCTGTGCTACAATTAACCGCTTGTGAACATCACTTTTGGGCGTTAATCAAATTTTAACGTCGTTACCGGGAATGTGCTATTAACAAGATTGATCAGTAGATTTTTGTGCCAAAGAGGTAAGTGTACATTTTTTTTATTATTATTTTCTTTGCTATTAAGCTGTGTTTTTTATTTTTAGTTATTAGTCTTTGTCTAGCCTTTATTCACGTTCTTTTAGTTTTCAAAAAAAAAAAAACAATCTTTGTTTACTGCATTTGTCTTTCTATTTCTTTTTCTTTTCTTCGTCTTTTTTGTTTCATTCTTTTTAGCGTTAGTTTCCATTCTCTTTATTAAAATTTGATTTTAAAAAAAAGGCCAGTTGCTAGCTGTCCCCTTAAATCCCCGTGCACATTCCTTTCTTTTTGTTTCTTTATATTAATAAAAAAATCTTTTTCTAGTTCACTTTCCTATAATTTTTCGTTATTAATTGGTAGGAGTTAATCCGTAGGATTTATTTTAATTGGCAATTTTCTCATTGTAATATTAGATCTTTCCTTTTAACAATTTAAAGTATCATTGATTTGGTTTTGTCATCTTCTAATTTTGATAGATTAGGATTTTATTTTGTTTCTCAATTTATATAATTTAATTGTTAATTATTATCTTATTGCCTAATTTAATTTTTCCTTTTATAGTTTTTATTAATTCTTACGATTATAATTAGGATTGTAATTAATTGACTATTCTAAATATAGAAATTTCATAATTTGGTAGATTTAAGCCTTTTACTTTAGGAATAGTTTCCATTAATTAGCTTTCATTTCATAATTTATTCAATAAAATTTAATAATTGATTTTGAGAATAATTGTGTGGTTACGTGGAAAGTGCAATCTGAGGGAGTTTTGTCTAGAAAAGTTGGTACTTAAGTGGGCTTCGCCCCACTAATCTTTCCTAGGAACTTTGCTCTATCTAGGAGACTATTCATTGAGCCAAGAGCTATAGTCTTTCCTAGGAGCACTCTCGGTGGTGACAATTTATGTTACTGTATAATTATTTTCTTTTGTGTTGATTAAATTTAAAAAAAAAACAAAAATTTTTTTTAAAAAAATTAAAAATTAAAAAAAAGGCCGCTTAGGGTGAATGCATCGGTATAGAGACGAACTAGGGAGTTTTGCTCAACATCAAGACTTCGAAACCCCTAATGAAACTCTATCCGACTCGTCTTCTACGCCTCCGTCTTCACACTCGTCATTGGAATTCGCATTTCAAAATCTATTCGCAATGGCACAACACGAGGAAGTTCAGTAGAGGACGTTGCAAGATTACCTGCACCCAACGCGCACGGCCATCCCATCTTGTATCAAGTTCCCACTGAATGAACCACCTACGGATTTCAAGCCGGGCATGATTGCACTTCTCCCAACCTTTCACGGGTTAAAGAACGAGAATCCATATGTAAACATCTGGGAGTTTGAAGAGGTGGTGGCCACCTTTCACAGCCGTGCTAAGGCCGCAAACATCGTGAGATTGAAGTTTTTCCCTTTCTATCTGACGGACAAGGCCAAAAACTGGTTGTATTTTCTTAGGCCCAAGTCTATTGGTACGTGGGAAGAAATGACGACGACATTTTTTAACAAGTATTTCTCATACCACAAGACCAACAATTTGAAACGACAGATCTCGAATTTCACTCAGAAGGAAAATGGAACTACCTATCAAGCTTGAGAGCATTTTAAAGATCTGTTAAATCTGTGTCCCCACCATAGATATGAATGTTGGCACCTCCTAAGCTATTTCTACGATGGACTCACAATCCGAGAGTGCCAATTTGTCAAGATGATGTGCAATGAGGATTTTCTCCAAAAGGATCCTGACGAAGCTATCGAGTACCTGAATGAGTTAGCTGAGAAAGCTCATACTTGGATTGGACCGAGTGCTACTGAGAGCACCAGTAGGTCCCGAGTAGTTGGAGTTTATCAATTAAGGGAAGATGACAGCCTCAAGGCCCAAGTTGAAGCATTGACAAAGCAAATTGAGGCCCTCAAAAGTAAAGATAGTAAAGGACCCCACATGGTGGGAAGGACAGAGGCATATGAGCCCTGTTTCATTTATGGTGGAGAGGGCCATCTAGCTCAGGATTGCCACACTTCAAGTGAAATGAGAGGGGTATACGAGGAGCAGTGCAATGCATTGGGCACATACAAAAAGCCTTGTGGACCTTTCTCAAAAACTTACAGTCCTGGTTGGAAAAACCACCCGAACTTCAGTTGGCGAGATTCGAACCAACATGCACAATCATTTGGAGGGCAATGGAGATCAGAGCAACAATCTCAACCACCAAGGACATATTTTGCGCTTCAGAATTACATGCAGCCGAAAGGGAATTCTTTAGAGGATACCCTAAAAGCTTTTATGGACACGCAAAATAAAATGAATCAAAGGGTTGATTCAATGCTCACGCAGCTGGTGGAAGAGAACAAGGAAATAAAAAGTCAGATCACAAAGCTAACAGAAGCTTTAACCGTTCAGGAGCACCATAGATTTCCATCACAAGCCCAATCCAATTTGAGAGGACAACACATTGCTCAAACTTCCAACTCTAAAGGTCAAAATATCAAGGAAGTTAACGCCATCTCTACTCCAAGTGGTATGAATTTTGACACGCCATCAACATGTACAACCACTTTGAGTAATGAAGAATCGGCTCAGGAGAAAGAAGAGCCAATAAAAATTCTGATAAAGGTGCCTTTTCCCCAAGCTCTCCGACCTGCTGGGAAAGTGCCAAAAAATCAAAGTGAGATCCTGGAGCACTTGACACAATTGAAGATCAATCTTCCCTTACTACAAGTGATCAAGCAAGTGCCAGCCTACGCTAAGGTTATCAAGGATATATGCACCATAAAGAGAAAGCACCACGTCAAGAAGACTACATTCTTGACGGAACAAGTGAGTGTAGTGATTGAGCAGAAGACACTGCTAAAGTACAAAGATCCTAGTTGTCCCACCATTTCCTGCACAATTGGGACACACGAATTCGGCCAAGCATTGTTGGATCTTGGAGCGAGTGTAAACCTCATGCCTTATTCAGTTTACTCGCAACTTGGTCTTGGAGAGATTAAGCGGACACCTGTAGTACTGCAATTGGCCGATCGATCCATCAAGAAACCATGTGGAATAGTTGAAGACGTGTTATTGCAAGTTGATAAGTTCTACTATCCCGTGGATTTTGTTGTTTTGGACACTCAGTCAGTGGTTGATGTAGAGTCAAAAATCCCGATCATCCTTGGAAGACCATTCCTTGCGACAACAAATGCCCTAATTAACTGTAGAAATGGTCTAATGAAGATCTCTTTTGGGAACATGACTCTCGAGGTAAATGTTTTCAACATTGTAAAATAACCACAAGGTGACGACGAGTGTCACCAAACATTCATGATCGACACATTTGTCGAGGAGGAGGTTCAGCTGCAAAGCAACTCTGAAAATCTTGAAAGCCTCCTCCAAAATTCTGATTCTGAAAATTCCGGTTCTGTTGAGTTAGCTCACTTGTCTGCAATTTTCAACAACTCACAGGACAGAGGAATTAAGTTTAAGCAACTATGTTTTGAGGAACTTCTGCAAGGAAGAGAGAAACCAAAGCCTTCCATCGAGGAGACCCCTACAGTCAAACTTGCTCAACTACCTGAAGGATTGAAGCATGCATTTTTGGGAGTTGGCGATACCTTTCCTGTTATCATTTCTTCCAAACTGGATGCATCAAAAGAGCAGCGGTTAATCACCATGTTGCGAAAGCATAAATTTGCATTGGGTTGGACGATTACTGACATTAAAGGAATCCGTCCTTTGATTTGCTCCCATCATATTCATTTGGAAGAAGGGGCTAACCCCCGAAGAGATCCTCAAAGAAGATTGAATCCAACAATGAAGGAAGTTGTGAAGAATGAGGTTCTCAAGCTAATAGATGCTGAGATAATTTACCCAGTTGCTGATAGCAAGTGGGTTAGTCCAACCCAGGTAGTACCAAAGAAATCGGGGGTCACTGTGGTGGAAAATGAAAAAGGGGCTGTAGTTCCCACGAAGGTCGTGATTGGTTGGCGCATGTGTATTGACAATCGCAAGCTTAACGACACCACTCGTAAAGACCATTTCCCACTTCCATTCATCGATTAAATCTTAGAACGTGTGGCAGGTCATCCTTTCTATTGCTTTCTCGATGGCTATTCAAGGTATTATCGGATGGAGATAACATTAGAAGATCAGGAAAAAACCACATTCACATGTCCTTTTGGTACTTATGCCTTTCGGCGAATGCCATTTAGACTATGTAACGCACCTGCCACATTTCATAGGTGTATGATGAGCATTTTCAGCAACATGATCGAGAAATGCATGGAAGTATTCATGGATGACTTGATAGTCTTCAGAGATTCATTCGACACGTGCCTTCTCAACTTGGAAGTCATTCTGCAAAGATGTGAAGAGAAGGGTCTCGTGCTCAATTGGGAGAAGTGTCATTTCATGGTGTCATCCGGCATAGTTCTTGGGCACATTGTTTTTGAAAGAGGAATCGAGGTCGACCACTCCAAGGTTGAACTCATTTCTAATTTGCCCACCCCCAAGGCTGTTAAGGATGTTCGATCTTTTCTGGGGCACGCAGGATTCTACAGGAGGTTCATTCAGAACTTTTCATCTATAGCGAGAACGCTAAGAAACCTCCTAGCAAAAGATGTTGTGTTCAGCTGGACATAAGAGTGTGAGGATGCATTCTGAACACTCATCGTAAAATTGACTTCTGCCCCTATTATGTAGTCACCAGATTGGAGCTTACCTTTCGAGATCATGTGTGATGCAAGTAACTACACTGTGGGGGCCGTTCTTGGTCAACAGAGGGAGGGGAAGCCTTTCGTTGTCTACTATACAAGCCGTACTTTGAATAGTGCTCAGATGAACTACTCAACTACTGAAAAAGAGTTGCTTGTTGTCGTATTTGCTCTCGACAAGTTTCGTGCTTATCTGATTGGTTCACCTATCACCATCTTTACAGATCATGCTGCCTTTAAGTACCTTATCTCTAAAAAGGATGCTAAGGCACGTTTAATTAGGCGGATCCTTCTTCTGTAGGAATTTGACTTGACAATCAAGGACAAGAAGGGAGTTAAAAATGTGGTGGTGGACCACTTATCTCGTCTTGAGTTTTATGATTCCGCCGAAAGTCCTGCTATTGGAGATGACTTCCCCGATGAACATCTCTTCACCGTTACTAAGATGCCATGGTATGCTCACTTTGTTAACTACTTGGTGACTGGTGAGATTCCATCTACCTGGAATGCACAAGACAAGAGGAAGTTTTTGGTTGAGGTTCATAACTTTTACTGGGATGACCCCTATCTTTTTAAGTACTGCCCCGATTAGATCATGAGATGATGCATCCCGGATGATGAAGTGTCTAGTGTCCTGAACTTTTGCCACAATAATGCATGTGGCGGTCATTTTTCTGTGAAGAAGACCGCCGCAAAGATCTTGCACTGTGGTCTCTATTGGCCCACTTTGTTCAATGACACCAATGACTTCTGCCATTCCTGTGGGAGGTGCCAAAAGCTAGGTGCCTTGTCCCGTCGCCATATGATACCCTTGAACCCGATTCTCGTAATAGAAATATTCGATTGCTGGGGCATAGACTTTATGGGACTATTTCCACCTTCTTATGGATTCTTCTACATAGTCCTCGCTGTGGATTACGTGTCTAAGTGGGTAGAAGCCATGGCGTGCCGGAATAATGATAACACCACTGTTGTAAAGTTCTTAAAAAGGAAAATGTGTTATCTTGATTCGGAACGCCGCATGCTATCATCAGTGATCAAGGCACCCATTTAAGCAACCGTTATTTTGAGGCTCTGATGCAAAAATATGGTGTGGTTCATAAAGTTTCAACTGCCTATCACCCACAGACAAATGGCCAAGCTAAGTTGGCCAACAGGGAGATTAAGCAAATTCTGGAGAAGACGGTTAATCCCGATCGCAAGGATTGGTCTATGCGCCTTCCAGATGCACTTTAGGCATACCGTACTTGTTACAAAACCCAACTTGGGATGTCTCCCTACCGGCTTGTCTTTGGAAAAGCCTTTCATCTACCTATAGAGCTCGAGCATAAGGCTTATTAGGCTACCAAAGCCCTCAACTTTGATCTCAGCGCTGCAGGTGTCAATCGGAAGCTCCAGCTTTCTGAAATTGAGGAGTTAAGGAATGATGCTTATGACAATTCCAGGATCTACAAGGCAAAAATGAAAGCGGCCTATGACAAGCAGATCCTGAGGAAGAATTTTGAGTTGAATCAACAGGTTCATCTCTATGATTCCCATTTGCATCTCCACCCCGGTAAGTTGAGGTCGCGGTGGACTAGCCCATTCGTAGTAAAATGTGTTTTTCCCAATGGTGCTGTCGAGGTTGAGGACCTAACCGATGGGAGAATCTTCAAAGTAAATGGTCAGCGTCTAAAGAATTACTTAGAGCGGGTGAACCAGGTTGAAGAGATCATTCTTGACGACCCTGTTTATCAGCCCTGAGTAGTTTGCTCACATCTCCTGTACCATATTTTCATTTTCTGTTTTCCTTGTTTATTTGTTTTACATTTTTTTATGTGTGTGTTTTCAGAGAATCATATCAGGAAGCTCAGACTGTGCTCATATATGGAATACTCTTCATCCAGGTGTCTTCTTTCTCTATATTTCCATAATTTTTGACACTGAGGACATTGTCTGATTTTGGTTGGGGGTGGTGAGCATATTCATGCGCAAGAGTGATTTTTGTCATGTTGATATTTGGGTTAAAATTTTTGCAAAGTTATCTGAGTATGATTTGAAAATGTTTGGTTTGAGTTGATTTTCGTTGTCTTGGTTACTAAGAAATGACTTCTAGAGTTTCTTTTTGCACGTGCTAAACCTTGTGGTAAGATGGATGTTAATGCATGTCAGCTGAGAAAATTCCCAAGTTTAAGTGCTTGATTTTTGATGAGTTAAGAGAGTTGAGAAAATGACTTTTGAACCTTCATTGATCTTTTGAACTGGTAAAAACACTATTTGAACATCATTACATGGTTAGTGGTATGCTTGAGGGATGGATTTTAGGTTAGATAGGAATGATCTTGAGCAATAGCAACATTTCACATATCATATAGTTTGGTTGTAATCGCATTTGGTGCTATATAGTTGTTTGTCAAAAGAACACCTTTCTACATTCACTTCATTATTGCAGGTTGTCTCTTGCCAAAAAAAAAAGAAAAAAAAGAAGAAAAAAAAAGAGTAATTTATTTTCTTATGCATTTTTTTTGGCTCTTTGTTCGTTTCTGTAAATTTCTGTTTGACCTGAATGAAATTTCAAAAGTTAGTTTGTGATAAGAATGGTGGAATGTTCTAGTAGTTGATTAACCTATCTTTTGGTCAATGTTCGTTTGACTGTTTGTCCTGAATTTTACCTTCCTCACACTGAACGTTGATTGTTCCATTTCCAACTCCATGAGAGAAAACCTTTGTACTCAAATATTTTCTGACACCTGTGAGATTAATGGAGTTGAGACTTCTACTTGCTGAAATTTTCAAAGCTGCATGTGTTATGGTTAGTGGTAAGAAGGTTATGGTCTAGAGCATACACACACGACTCTGGAGTTGTGGCTGAAATAATCTTGATAGTATCTTTTGACTTCATACTAACAGTTTGTTTGAAATACTCAAGTGACTAAGCTAGTTGAGACTCTAATTTTCTTTGACATGATTTTTCTTGCCCTTGGATTGCTAGAGACTAGCAATAAGCTGGTTAGGGGTTGTGATTAGTGCATGAAAATGCACCCTAAATACTGCTTTTGATTTATATAATATTAAAATATTTAAGCTTTAATTAAACAATTCCATTATTTTTATTCAGAATATTTTTCATTGGAATTTGTCTAGTTGTTGCTTAATTATTTGCAGATAAATAGCAGTGTAAAAAGCCACACAAAAAGAAGCCATGAAAGCCATGTTTTCAGCCATTCTAAGTCAGCCAAGCCGAGCCATATAGAGATAGAGCTGTGCAAGCCGAGTCAAGCCACCAAGCCGAGCCAAACAACTATCATTTCCCCTCATGTGGGCCCCAGCTCTTCCGCGTTTCCCGACTCTACCTCGCGCGCGTCACCAGCACGCCCTCTCTCAGTGTGCGCGTTCCTTCCGTACAAACATCAGCGCAAAGCTTTCTTCCGTGTGGGTCCCGTGTCTATGATGCCAGCCTGACTTCCCAATGAATGCGCACCAGCATTCAACTTGTCCCCTGCTCTGACTCCGTGCCAGCACACTCCAACCACTCTGAGAGTGACACGTGGCGAACTGACTCCATCTTCCAACCGTAATGCGATACGTGTCCCCTTTGAT